GTTTTATTTGCCATGTAAGCATTAAGGGAAATTCTGCCCTTTCCTACATTTAGTGAACATAACCTATAAATATTGAGAGAGTGGCAGCGGCAGATTCATTCGATCTGTCCMTCCTTTCAAAAYCCTTGTGTACTTYTGCTTTCTTCTCCTTTCTTCTCCCTCTTTCTTCTACTTTTCTCAATCTGAAATCTTTTGGAATTCAAGACTGACTGTAGTCTTGATCGACTACTGAAATAAAGCTTAACTTTGATAGGTGCAGTATGGGAAACCCAGACAATTCTGGAGTAGTAGTCTTCTGGAACAGTAATGGGGACATTTTAGCTATCTTCTGAGGCCCTATTTGGGTAGGCAAGTTCCAAAATTTTGTCACATATTGGCCTGTATCGGCCAATACGTGCCGTGCCGGTCGCCCACCGATATGCTAAATAAGGAGGGTTTTGGGATTTGACCTATTTCAGGGGGGCAGAGGGGCCTAAAACCTACCCCTAACCTATTTTTGAAAAAAAAAAGAAAATAAAAAGATGGGCACAAGGTTCAAAGTACCGATACACCACTTGCATTGTATCGGGTGTATCGATACTTTGAACCTTGGGTGAAGGGGACTCCGTAAGAGCATAACACTACTAGCTGTTGTACAAGCGTTAAGGTTGGGGAAGACACTCTACATTTAGAAACTTAGTGATGGAAGGGGAACTCTAAAACAGTGCTAATTTGGATATGTAGCACTAACCAAGGATCATGGCAATATAGGAATGGTATGAGAAAGATTATTCAACTATCAAGAGAGCTTGTTGCAACTTTCATATGGATATGAGGATTAGCCAATAATGTGGATCATACTATGGCAAAACTTGAGGTGAACAGGGCATAATTGCATCAGGGAACCATATCACACTAATGTATGTAAAAGATAATGAGGGTTGGGTAACAGACAGCCCAACAAATAAGGGAAGGTCTATTGATGTGCATTGGAGTCGTCGCTCTCTTCCAAAGAGGCTAGAAAGATATCCCCTCTGGTGGATTCTCAAAGAGTGGAGTTAACAGAGTCTGATTGTGCAGAAAAAACAATTTGGAATGATTACAATTTGAAAGAGGTTTCTGTTGAAGTGACGTCAGGGGATAAGACAAAAAAGAAAAGAGGAGCGGACTTGAAGATTCTAGTTGACAAAGAGGTGGAAATCGGCAAGTCTTTGAGCTTGTTCTTTTTAGGAGGAGAGGACTTTGATAGAAGAGCTTTTGAGAAAAAGAGGAAGCTTAAAAGCATGAGAAAGGTTCCTGAAGTGTTAGGGGGAGAAATTTGGGATGAGGAAGGAGGTCCAGATGAGTTTGATGAGGTGGAAGATTGATCTACGCATAGAATTGCTTGGCTGGAGTAGTTGTTTTTTTTTTCTTTTTTGAGAAAAGGCTAACTTTATTCAAAAAAAAAAGAGGTGCATGAGGAAATGTACACAACAGATAAGCACTCAGAAAGTTACATAGGCAGAGAACTATCACTAAAAAGGTAATCCCTGTGAGCACCAGATTTAGCTAGACTATCAGCTTCAGAGTTTAGCTCCCTTGGAATCCAGACCACATGGGCATTTAAAGCAGCAAGGATGTCTCTCGCTTCAGCCAGGTAGTGAGCTAAGGCCCAAGGCCCACTGTCAGGATTAGAAAGCCAATTAATGGTGTTGGCTGAATCTCCTTTAATGGTAAGATTTAGTAAGCTCATGTCTTTTGCACTCCTGATGCCGGTTAGAGCTGCCATACTAAAAGCCCAACTGACAATACCATTTCTATTTCGAATTACACCTCCAATACCCGCTACACCCGGGTTTCCAAAAGCATTACCATCAAAGTACAAGGTCGTCTCGCCATCCACATCAGATCTGAAACTGTGGGGAGTGATGAGTTGTATTTGATTAGAGTGAAGGAAATTTACGGCGTTTCTTTGGAGGTCATCAAAGGTGACACCTCTGAAGTGAGTTGAGCTGGAAGTCCACAAGAAGCATCTGTAACATATTAGAGAAATCAGCTCCTCAAAGTTTTTTGCTCTGTTGGTAAACACCTGGTAGTTTCTCTCTTCCCAAATGCTCCAGAAAATAGCATGTGCAGCAGATTGCTATAAAGTTTTCCCTCTTTTGCTTAATCCTCTTCCTGACCATTGCCCTAAGCATTCAACCACATTTTTTGGGAAACCCAGCTGTATTCAAATAATGATAGAAAAAAGTTCCAAAATTTTCAAGTTTCCTCACAGTGGAGCAGAATATGGTTGGTAGATTCCCCAGCTTTAAGGCAGAAACAACAAAAAAAAAAACAGACCCTGGAAGGGATATGAGCACACCAGATAAGTGTTGATTTCCTTTAAACTGGAGTAGTGTTTGCTGTGCTAGTGTAATCTCTTGTTTTCTCTCCTGTTTCTTCTCTGCTGTATGCGAGTAGCTGAAGTAGTTGTTGGGTTTGGGGGGTGTTATCTTAACACCTGCCTTTAGTTTGTATTCAGCTTTTTCCTTTTTTAATAAAATTTTCCTGTTATTTGTCAAAAAAAAATCTAACAGTTACTAATAATAATTCGAAATAGAAATTGATTAAAATAATAAGAAATATGCACAAGAGATGAGAAAACAACCCAAGAACAAACAAATGTGTCACCATGTAACAGATTATACAAAAGGTGTTTGATACACCATGGAAAGATAAAGAAATTCCAAATAAAGTAGACATCTCAAAAGGGTCTCATAACATTCTTACATACATGTTTAACAAAAAATATTCTTATATATGTCAACTACAAATTTGATTGAGAATTATCTTTCCTACCTGCAGTGATCTTTCTAGGTGCATAATCCAAGTCTTCTCTAATGCTAATTTGTATGTCTTGAAGCAGCAAAGCTTCCTTTTTCGATTCAATTGGAACAGAGTTTTCATCTCCCAAGGAGCTTCCCTTTGGATAACTTACTTGCTCTTGGCTGCTGGTGCATCCAGGTAATTTGATTCCTGCTGTAGATTTACATGACCGAAAGAGTATCAAGCGCACAGTACATAAAACTTGCAGATGAGCTACTTTTGAATTAATGAACTATTAAGGGAAAGAAAAGACATAAATACTTATTTAATTTTAGACGATGATCATGATAAAATTCAACAACTTCAACATGCAACTATTAATTTCTTTATAGTTAACATCAAGTCAAAAGACAACCTAGACCAACTTAATCAGAACAACCAAACAATAAATAAATAGGCAATCCCAATAACCAACTCAAACAATCCCACTAAATGCCTTAAAAACTACTGATATAATTAAGTACATTACTAATTTAACATCAAGTTGATGAGTAACTATGGTTATTATGCAGACTTTCCTACAATAATTACCTCTTCATGAATCCTGTGCTAAGATATTTTCATGTCCAAGAATTAATTGTATAGTGAATAACAATTAGAGAGAACTTCAAGAAAAAAAAATGAAAAGTTTATTAGTAGAGTTTGGAACCTGAAAGTTGGCATTGTATAGGTTCTTACATGTATTTCCTATGTGGCTCATTGCATTCAAGAACTTCTAGTGAATCTTGTCAATACCTTCATCAGATTTTGCAGTTGCACTCTTATCTGTCCAAAGTTCTGTTGAATCCTTCATCTTCTCATTAACATCAAGTTCTTCACCAATTAGAAATGTCAAAGGTGGCAATGAAACAGTGTTCTCTGCTGTAAATGCTACATTCACCAATGCAAATTTGGTCAATTATTTGCTCAAAACCAAGTGCATGGTCAATTATTTGCTCACAGGGATTACTTATTCAGTGATAGTTTTCTGCCTGTGTAACTCTTTGAGTGTCTGATCTCTGTGTACATCTCCTCATGTACCTTTCTTGTTATGAATAAAGTTAACTTCTCAAAAAAAAATTACAAGCAAGAAAATAGCACCACAAATATGTATTTAAGACTACCAATGCATAATATATATAAGGCACATGTTTTTCAAATAATGGAAAATAAGGTGTTTGATACACCAAGGACAATAACTTAAATTCCAAATAAAGTAGACATCTCAAAAGGGTCTCATAACATTCTTATATACATGTTTACCGAAAAATATATAAGCATCTATAAATTTGATTGAAAATCATCTCTCATACCTGCAGTGCTCTTTCTAGGTGCATAATCCAAATCTTCTCTAATGTTAACCTGTACATCTTCTAGCAGTAAATCTTCCTTTTTTGATCCAATTGGAACAGTGTTTTCATCTACCAAGGGTCTTTCCTTTGGATAACTGACTTGCTCTTGGGTGCTGGTGCATCCAGGTAATTTGGTTCCTGGTGTAGATTTACATGACCAAAAGAGTATCAAATGCACAGTACATAAAACTTGCAGATGAGTTACTTTTGAATAATGAACTATTAAGGGAAAGAAAAGACAAATACTTATTTACTTTTAGATGATGATCATGATAAAATTCAACAACTTCAATATGAAACTATGAATTTCCTTATAGTTAAAAGACATCCTAGACCAACTTAAGCATGGCAATCAAACAATAAATAAATAGGCAATCCCAATAACTGACTCAAACAATTTCACTAAATGTCATAAGAACTACTGATATAATTAAATACATTACTAATTTAACCTCAAGTTGATGAATAACTCTGGTCATTATGCAGACCATTCCTACAATAATTACCTGTCCGTGAATCCCGTTCTAAGATATTTTCATGTTCAAGACTTTATTGTATAATGAATAACAATCTGAGAGAATAATGGAAATATAAATAGGTGTTGTGAAGAAAAAAATGCAACGTTTATTACTAGAGTTTGGAACCTGAAAGTTGACATAATGACATAATATAGGTTCTTTTTTCCAAAGAATCCATACACATATATTTCCTATTTGGTAAATTGCACTCAAGAACTTCTAGTGAATCTTGTTAATACCTTCATCAGATTTTGCAGTTGCACCCTCATCTGTCCAAAGTTCTGTTGGATCCTTCATTTTCTCATTAACATCAGGTTCTTCCCCAGTCAGAAATGTCAAAGGTAGTGATGAAACGATGTTCTCTGTTGTTAATGCTACATTCATCAATGCAAATTTGGTCAGTGATTTGCTCAAAACTAAGTGCATGATGTCACAAACGTGTTATTTCTTGGCATTGCAGGCAAGAAAATAACACCACAATTATGTGTTTATGACTACAAATGCATAATATGTAAGGCATATATTTTTCAAATAATGGAAAATAAAGTGTTTGACAAACCTTATTTTGAAGTAGAAAAAAAAAACAATAATCTGATTTGATAACAGTGAGAAAGGGAGAGTTTTGTTAGACAGTGTATGCCCTTAGCTCCAATCAGATTGAATTACTTATTGTCATTTATTGTAAATGAATAAAGTGCATAATTGATTTGTGATATTATGGTGTGTTTCTGTGTAATACCCTTAAACTGGACACTTATGAGACTCGTGTTAGTTTAGAATTTTCACAGTTGTTGGATAGATCTGGGGAGATTTATCCTGCCAAGGCTGACATTGATGTGCCGCCAAGTTGGTTGGGGTGGCTTGTCTCAGCTACCAGGGTGAGACCTGAGGTACATGCAATGTGGGTTTTCTTGAAACCCTGAATCGGACCAAAATTCTAGTATTTCCCTGGACCTTGGAGATAGATGGGCAAAACTGGAATGTTACACCTGACCCCTAGACTCGATTGTGGTACTGCACTAGGTGTCGGGTTGGGCTGTCTTTGATATGTCAATCAGTGAGATCCTTTATCGGGTCAAAACCTAGGTATGTTGGAATAGTCTAAGAATTCACCTGAGTGGGTGATCATAGTGACAGGATCAGCCCCTTTGTCGGACAAAGTGAATGATCGGGGAATGCACTCTCTCTGAGGGAAACCTAAACTGCTGGCAGTGGATTTTAAATGTGTTTGAAATTTGGTTATGCAAAATATATTTATATAGAGATATACTTATATATTATGGTTTCAAATTGTTTGCAAAAAGGTTTTAATTCCCGGGATCCATGTGAGTAAAGAGTGTAGCATTGTACCTTGCAGTTGAAGGAGAGGTCCTCTCTTGTCAAGCAGTGTTTGATCATTATGCGCTGAGAGGTTAAGTGTAAGGCCATTGAGGGTAATACCTGATGGGTTAATCTTGCATCTATCTACAGTCCTTGGGTTTTCACAAGATGGCTCGATCCAAGGACCATTTAGTGTAAATGTTGGGCCCATTAAGAGCCCATTGTGATAGACTCAGGGGTTCACTGTAACCTACAGTGAATTCGGTCAGGCCTTGTAACAAAGGCTGGGCTGAACCCATGTGGCTGATGTGTAGATCAATGCTTGGGTCCCACACCATACAAAGAAAACCAAACTAGCCAACATATAATGGGTTAAGTGAGCAGTATGACTTAATGGGCCTAAAGCCCATTTCGAACTGGGCTTAAATGGTTTAATTAAATTGGGCCATTCTGGGTTTATAATTTGACCAGGATTAGTAGTTGGATAAGATAAGTCTTATCAACTTGAGAGTCCAGATCTAAATACAAGATTTAGATTAGGAAATCTCATTCCTAATCAGATTAGGAAGCTGATCCTGAAGGGATTATAAATAAGGGGCAAATTCCATAGAGAGAACACACTCCTTTTTGCAGTCTCTTCTCTCCCTCAGTTCTTGGTGCCATCCCAATTCGATCTCCACCTACTGGAGTGATCAATAAGTGTTCTTGATATTATTTCTTGGTGAAGAAACAATCAGAAGTTGTGCTCACACCACCCTGCTCGATTCTTGGTGAAGAATCCTAGGTTCTTGCTGGTCCTGCCTCAACATACGTTGTGTCATCTTTAATGGAGGCAGATTTGGTATCCTCTTTGGGCGTGAACACCTATGTTGGGAGTTCCTTTTAATTCCGTATCAGGTATTTCCCTCTCCCTTCTTTTGGTTTCAGATCTGGTCCGGTTTTGTTTCAAGAACGAACCTTGAAAATGCAGTTTTCTAAATTAGGGAATACGATTCTCGGATGGAAGAGAGAAATTTTTGAAATTTCACCCAACCTTCTTGCAGGGTTCGGCCATCCATATGATGGATCTCCCATCCCTTCAAGTTCTTAGTGAGAAGAGAAGAAGAGATGGGGAGAAGCCAATAATGGTCTAGCTGCCCCACTCATTATCTTATATACTCATAAAAAAGATTGATTACAAAGACTAATATGGCATTAATAGGGTGGCTACTGTTCATAACATAAAACAGCTCCAAAAAACATCATAAACTAATGGCCCTTGGGCCCAATAACACTAACTAATGATTCAATAACATTAACTAATGATTACAAACAAGAAAAACATAAGAAACTGCTGAATCTCAACAGATATATGAGGGAAAATAAGGTGTTTGATGCACCATGGACAATAATTAAAGAAATTCCAAATAAAGTAGACATCTCAAAAGGGTCCCATAACATTCTTATATACATGTTTACTTTTTGGCGCCGTTGTTGGGGAAGCATAGAGAAAAATTTTTATTTGCTTTGTCTGGATCTGTTTCATTATTTTTCTTTTTCGTTTTATTACTTGATCTATTATCTCAGTTTAATTCATGTTTCTCTTTGATTCTGCAAGACGGAATAGCGAAAGGTGGGGTACCGGAGCGTTGTGGGACTACGGGAGAGAAGAGAAATTGGATTGCGTTTCATATGTAGTCGTCCCATTTTATTTTTGATTTTATTTTTATTTTTATTTTTGAACTCTTTTTTTTTGGTAGAATATTGATTTTCGAATTTTTAATTAATTTTTTTTAGATCCGATTTATTTTTTTTTCTAGTATTATTTTTCTCCCATTTTGTTTCTAAATCTATTTTTCTTTCTTTATTATTTTTCTAGATCTATTTTTTTTCTAGTATTATTTTTTCTCCCGTTTTGTCTTATTAGGTTTGTGTTTTTCTTTTATTTCAGAAAAAAATAGAAAAAAAATCATTTATTTTATTTATTGCCGCATAATTTTCTTTTGTTTATTTTATTTTCGGTTTAATTTTAGAATAGCAATTTTCTTGTTAGAGTTTATTTTGGTAGTTGTTAATTTCGTTTTTAGCATAATTATTTCTTTTATTTTCTATTTGTTATAATTAGTTGTTGCATTATTTAATTCCTTTTTTTAGTTATTCAATTGAATAATTAATCGTTAAATAGGAAATTGTTTAAATTTTCAAATTTGAATTTCAATTTCAATTTCAATTTCAAATTTCGAAATTTAAATTTAAACTTTCGAATTTAAAAATAAATAAATAAAAACAAATAAAAAATCGAAAAAAGATAATATTTTTTTTTTGCATTCCATCATTTAGGATTTGATATTCTAGAGCATGCATCATATAGGTTTATTTCATTGCTGAAATTATTTTGTTAGTTGTGAATGTGCTAGGTTTCTTTTTATTTTAATTGCTTCTTGTGCATAGTTTATTTTATTCGTTTATATTATATTACTAAATTGCATTTTAGAAATAATTGTTCATGCATTGTAGTTAGTTGCATTCATTTTGTGTTTATTTTGTCTTTCCGTTAATCCATTTTAAGGGCATCCAACTTAAATAAGATAAGGTGGGGATTTCATCACCCTTCCTTGGCCCAAAAATCACCACTCTTCACGTGCGGTTTACCCTAACCCTAATTTAAAATTTGGATAGCAAGATCCTTTAGGGAAGCCTCACATTTGGTTCAAAGGTGTGCTAAATTTTAGGAAAGCTTGTGATTACTTTCCATAACTGGCGGTTGGTGTGTAAGGAAAGAGGTTAAACGGCTACGCCAAAGCGGGTTTTGTGGTTACTTAATTAGGTCCTTGCAAGAGCAAGGGGAGCCTCCCACATCCCCACTTCTTACCTAGCTAACCAAAGGAAGTGGTGTAATTCCAAATGAACCTAAGAGGATTCACATTGGTTGAACCACTAGTTTAGGAAAGCCTAGGTCAGCCCTAGGTCGTGTGGTCGATTTGTTTGCATTTTTTTCTTTGAAAGTTTAAAAATTCAAATTTTAATTTTAATTTTAGGAATTTAAATTTCAAAATCTGAATTTGAATTTAAATTTCAAATCTCAAAAAAAGAGAATAAAAAATTAAAAATTCAAATTTGAATTTAAATTTCAAGAATTTAAGTTTCAAAATCTAAATTTGAATTTAAATTTCAAATAAAAAAATAATAACAAAAAAAGAGAGTAAAAAAATTAAAAAATTCAAATTTGATATTAAATTGCAGAATTTAAATTTCAAAATCTATTTGAATTTGAATTTAAATTTCAAATTTCACAAAAAAGGGGGTTAAAACAAAATAAGAGAATGAATTCAATGGTTGGAGTGTGTGTAATGAGAAACTACTTCCAACCTGAGCCACAAATAGATTGGAACCATGTGTCTAGACAACTAGACAAGATTAATGGGATGGCCCACAGAATTGACCAGGTCCTTGGATATCATCAACAAAGTGGCCCATACCCAACCTTGTCATCCTATCCATCACGTTCCATCTATGCAAACCCGGCCCATCATGTTAGCCAGTGCCCTGCGGTAGGCCCATGTCAACCAGTTAGTCCAAACCAAGTACATGCGGCCAACAAATTTTTCCCTGGGTGGGAAAATCAGCCCAACTTCACCTATAGGGCCCAAGTCCAAGAAAACCCCCTATCGGATGTTCACTCTCAATGGTCTGAAGCCCAGACCCACTAGGAGTACAAAGATTACCCTGGGACTCAACCGGTTCAACCATGTCAAACCTACATGCAGTCCCAACAACAATACCATCCAACTCCATGGCCCAACAATTTCAGAGGCCACAAGTACAGAGTTCATTCCAGCAAGTGTACCCTAGGAACCAACTGGTCCAATCGTATCAGGCTTACCCTCAACCTCCTCAAACCTGTACAGTAGATGATCAATTCATATAGCTTCAACAGCTGGTCATAAATCAGTAGCAATCCATCGATAGATTAGAGAGCCGAATAGGACAGCTAGCCAAAGCCAAGAAGAGGAGAGGAGTAGGGCAACTACCGAGTCAACCGATTGTGAACCCTAGAAATCAGCCATTGGGATTT